ACAGTGGCGTAGCCAGTCAAGATGGTGCCTGCGTTGACAAAAGCGAGCCATGCCCACGATTTCAAAGTGTCCAGTTCTTTCAAGGCTTCCAACCCAAATCCTGTACGTATTTCTCTCATCATGTATGCTACACGTCTCGCCAATACCACCCTCTTTCACTTGAGAATTGTTTGACGAAGCTCCTCATTTATCAGTTTTCTCCATCCCCCAGGAATTCCCTCCCCCTTAAGTCCAACTAGTCCCCCAGCACCCTGCTCTCAAACACCTTCTTTCTCCCTCAGCGTAGAAATTCCCGGGTGACTGAGGCACTGTAGATAGTTCGGCCACTACAGTGATCAGGCTATGAGCTGGACGACTGAGGAACTGGAGTTCGAGTCTCGAATTGGGCAAGACATTTTTTATCTTCTATACGGCCTTCAGACAAGGCTCTGGGGCCTACTCAGGCTCCTGTCAAAAGGGTACCAGAGGCTCTTTCCTTGAGAGTAAAGGGACCAGGGCGTGAAGCTGACCACTCACCTCTACTTACTGCCGAGGTTAAGACTGCGCGAAGATATTTCTCCACTCTCTCACCTGTATTCACGATATAAAAAAGTAAAGCTATCCCTGTTAACAGGCCGTGAAGTCCCATAGGGTTGTGAGATGTTCAGGTTCCCACATTTTCTAGACAATCGGCTCACAGACGGCGGTAAGGTTGTCAATCTTACGGATCGGCCGCCTTTTACCCACAAGAATATTCCTGGTACTCATTTCTGGTAGATGCTGAGTCGACCCCAGGGCCATAGTGCGGCTGGAAGGATTAGGTCAACTGAAAAAATTCACCTCATCGGGACTCGAAACCACGACTTATCGGCTTGTAGCATAGTGCCTCAACCAGCTACGCTACCGAGAGCCCCTATTCACGGCACAAATGTTCAATTAATTAAGCAGATGGATAAGTTTACCTTAAAGGCAAAGTTGTGCACGTACTTAGTTAAGCACCACGCCATGAAAACGTAAGGGGTAATGGGGGTACTTACTGACTGAAAGGGTGAAGTGCGCTATTGTCGGAAGTGCCAGTTTAAATGGGTAAAGCCATCGAACTTTCCTCAGTCAAGTGGAAGTGGAAGGCATTTCAAGCGAATAGTCGGATGAAAAACCAAACAGACCAGCAGACAGTAACGAGCACTTTGTATATGTTACTCTCAAATACATGTCTACACAATATATCGCGTGAACAAACGTACATTTTACCCGACTGCCCACGTTCATACAGTCTTTCCCCAGTAGAGGAACCGACTACTGATCTTGCAGCAATTGCATCGGTACGACTTCTCTCCAATGTACGTCCCGAAAAGAATAACAGCAGAAGTTGACAGGGACGAATACCTACTACAGATTTCACAGTCATACGTCTTTTCGCCAGCGGAAGTTCTATACAGTGTTTCCTTGAACACAGACATGTTGCAGCGCTCACACTCATAAGGTTTCTCTCCCTCATGTGCTACTTATAGTGCAGACAAGAGCAAAAGTATCTTGCCTCTGCAGGAATCGATCACCGATTCCGGTGATGTCAATACAGAAGTTACATCGGCAAACTGAAGTGGCCTAAAGAACGCCTGTAATGTATTTATCATCCTCTGTTACTACAAATACATAAATCAATACAACCGCCAGCGAAGTGCAAGAACTGTCTGCTTGGAACAAAATGGGACTATCTCGAATCAGAGGACAATGACGTCACGATGAGGCAATTTCCGTCGGCTGCCTGAACCTTCTGTCTGCGTGTTTATAACATACGCAAAACCTAACAGAACAGAGGTGCGAGTCGGTTCATTTCAACACAGTAAATACATTTCGCGTCTGACTGAGCCCTCAAGGCGGATGGTGATAAAATGGGGGAACAGCAGTACAGGCAGCCCATGCTGCTGACAGGTAAAGTGGAAAACTACCATCCGCCTTCAGGGCTCAGTCAGACAGTGCTACAGTGTTTCCTACGTATGTATTTCTTTTTTTAATTCGCATAGTGGGGATTGGAGTCCACTTAGGTCCACTCGACACGGCTGCCACTCATTGGCCTATTGTGCCTGCCCCGGGTGATTATGATGGCGAATTTGGTGGAATGAAGATTGTGAGGGTAAACTGAAGTACTAGGAGGAAACCTGCCCCAGCGCCACTTTGTCCACCACAAATCCCACTTGACCTGACCCGGGTTTGAACCCGGGCCGCCGAGGTGGGAAGTCAGCGACTAACCGCTTGAGCTATGGCGCGGCCTTGTGTACTTACTTCAAGCCTTGCTTAAAGTCCTAACGCGTGCATTTATTTGCCGTTTATCTTCCAAGTTATGAGCTGCATTCGGCGTATTCCATGAAATTTAACGACTGTGAACAAGAAAAGAACTGTAAATACCACAAGCGTTTCTTTGCGCGTATCAAGCCAGAAATGCTTCGCCCATTCGTTGTCAAGCAAAACTGAACACACTCTATGCGAAATAAATGTTGCTTAAGTGTTGCTGTTTCCGAGACCGTTGGACAGAAGTGATAGAACTGTTTGAGACGGCTCAGTTACCGCAGCTGTGGCGACATACGTTTCACTCGGTCGCGTCTGACTCTGGCAGCGATTAGGCAGTGTGTGACTGGCCGCAGGAGAAACTTTCGCCGGCCGAGGTGAAGCAATTCGCTAACTTTTGTGAATTCAAGACGGACAGTGTGTCGGCTAAGAAGAGCTCTGAACTGATGTAGCACCAGAGTGTAAGGAAATAGTTCAGAAAGACTTCCTTTCATCAGGCCGAGATCGCAGTTAAGATACACACGGGACAATAATATTAAAATGAACAGTGCAGAAATATATTGCGAGGATGAGAACGATACAATGGCAGGCGATTTTGCTGATGCTTCAAGGTATGAAATTTGTCACTTTGCAAGGGACAAAATGGCCGACAAGCGAGAGAAAGTAAACCTACAGATAAGGGCTTGCTTCCAACCGGGTCGACGCCGTGAGTTGCTCAGATTAACGTCGATGGGTAGATTGATTAGTGAACATCGAACTGCAAAGGGCGCGAGAAGTGGTCGTGGCATAACGTCATGTACACCTACACAGCCTGAGGAAAGCCACGAAGCCCTCAGAACAGACAGATGTCCCACCCACTCTGCCGGGACGCCCAGTGGCAACGTCGCCTTCACCGCATCCGGCAGAGTTCCTTCAGGGACGCGCTGCCCCTAGAACCCCGCAACCGTACGATCACTGGTCTGGACTGCTGACTCGGGTAGGTGTTGGCGTCTTGTTATGGGTGACATTCGAAACGCGACGCTACCGTGAGGCCCTGTATGTGAAGCGACGGAAGCGTTACTGCATGCAACACACCGCGTTTTTTTTTCTTCTCATGTTGCTCAGCAACGGTAACCGCTGACGTCAAGCGCCCCGCACTAAACCCATATATTGTATGTGCATTATTTGCAGTCACATGGAATAAACGGATTAGTGTCTGTCCTCAACCGGTCCAGATTAAGTTCAGTACGCCGATAAGCTGAAAGAGAACTTTATCTTGGTCTAATACGACAAATTCGCACGACGCTCAACGGAAGATCTTTAACAGGGGAAAGGGTGGGGGCGAGGAGCATATGCAGAGAATAAGAGTATGTTACTGTCAGTTGGTTTTCAGTTCGAGAATGTCAACCTCTGATGCTCTTCTATAAATAGCGCAAATCTGATTATTTCAAACAAAAAGGTTCAAAATGCGAGTATTTTAGTCGCATCTTTCCACTTTTTACACCACAAACACATCAGGGATAACAACCCATGTGAGTTACGAGTATAAGTAAACAAAACATTTCTCTCCCTTTTCAAACTAAATTATTGTTTTTTGCTGAAAGAGTGAAAAAGTCCGTTTCAAGTATACTGGCCTGTTATGATCGAGAATAATAAAAAAACACTTCGGCAATCTTTGCTTGTGTTCATCTGTAGTTCCGAAAAGTATGTAATTTATCTCGAAAACTGCAAGAGTTATGGCAAATGTGTGAATGAAGTTTCGCTATGACTATTGTTCCGGACTTGTTTACTTGTAGAAATATTTGGCGAGTTGCGTTCAAATTTGATGAAAATCCGTTTAACGGTTCACGAGCTGTTTTGCGCGATTGCGCTAGCAGCCCGCACCTCCGCGGCCCGCCTGAGCTGCCCACCGATTTGCGGCAGGCTGTAAGATGACCGTGGGTGTTAGCAATGAACGTCTTGTTGTGTGGTACCTTATTCATGTTTGCAAGTTTTCCTCAGTCTCTCCACATAAAGGTTACGGTGTACCATAAAGTAGGCCACGGCCCCTCCCATTTACATATTTCTCAATTGTTAGCACAACTTGCACAGTTGAAAAACGACGTTAAAAGTATGCCAAGAACCAGAATGCAATTAACTCAGAGAAAACTAGAATGTGCGTAATATATACATGTCAACTACTGCCGCTAGACTACTTACATTAGATTAAATACAGCAAATACCATCCAGTGCGTCTGATTTTTAAGTAAATTATTTGAAAGCCCGATATGTTGCATGGCCAACTTCCAGGACATCCAATTATAAAATAAAATTTCGCATGACTTCTGGGGCACAACGCGGTGTAGTCCGTTGACAGTCAACCGACGTTTCGGAGGAACATCAGGGTCCAAGAATAGGCAAAGCATGAGACCACCAGCATGAACTGGTAGCAAGCACACCTGGCCATGAAGATGGAGGCGACTGGTTCCTGCGACACTTGAGCTGACTTTCAACGGACTTCTGGACGTTATATCCGTGAAGGCTTCGCTCTTCAGAACCATCGCTGTGAGAACCTCAGATCCTTCACACGATTATTTAAGTTACACCTTTCGGGCTACATCTGACATAAACACTGTCAAGTGAGAGTGCAAATTCTGTGTGACGTGTTAATGGGGGCGGTCAGATCCTGTCTTGTGGCATGTCCTTGAGTGGTTCGTGTGTACTGAGTCTCAGATGCAGTGAATGGTATAGGATATTATATTTAAATTCAAACGTACCTATTTGGGTTGACAGGGAACAAAAGCAGAGGAGCGTCGCGACGACAGGCAACAGACGTCCCGACGTCAAATCCGGCGCCGCGTGTCTCATCGTTCCAGACGGATGTAAACACACAAATCGATACACAAAACACACGCCGTTCTTCACATATCTGGATTCTGAAATTGAAGACACCAAAATTTCCAGTCAGCAACTTTCACGGAAACTCGAGGTTGCAACATGCAATGTTCTTTCAGGCCCCCAATATCGTTTCGCTACATTCTACTGCACTTTTCAATTCTTTACACGGTTCTGAATTTCTCTGTTGGGATGTCACTGCCACTGAAATCGTTTCGTCGAGCGTAACAAACTTTCACATAGTAATTAATACTCTTGATATATTTCCTATATAAAGTTACAAATTAGCTCTTGGGAATTTATATTTAAGTATGTTTTTATAACCAAAACAGTTCAGGAACAATACTGCAGAAATATGTTAATCAGTCGTATATAATAATGTGTTTGGTAATGTTGAAAGTATTTCAAAGTCTGACGACAGCTCACTTATTTCCAGACTACACACAATCTTGAACATATCACAAACTATACAACTGCATGTTTATTCTAATTCTGGTTGTTAAAGGTTCTCAGGTTTGCTATATGGGAAAGCACAACCTTTCACGTACAAAAGTCTTCAAAACATCCAGCTAGTCACACTGCCACTAAACAAACACGTTTAAAATTAAATGGCCAACTCCTTAAATTCCGCCACTGATATCTAATATAATGTTGTTTCTACCCGTACACAAACCCTTTCAACTTTCTACAGATCACATCACCGCAAACTAATCCACGCGTTCGCCACGGACTGTCCGCACCTGTATACAGGCCCGCTCACTCGTGGGGAAGCAGTGACGTCACGCGCTCTCATTGGCCGTTGCTATGCGATACTAAGGTGGGGATTTGGAATCCATGAGACGCGAGTTGAATGGAATGTAAGACACAAGCAGACTGATTCCAAAATGTCATATATCACTAATTTAACGACGTTATGTAAAGTGCTTACGTTACACGGCGGTGCCTGAAGAAAAACTACACGCATATCGCGCGGGCAGCCATGAAAGCTAAGCGCACGATGGTTTCAGTGACTTTACAACTCACTCAGTCATGCAGGTGAGCCCTCCTTGAGAAGTCGCCAGTTGTGCAGCTACTCAAGAATGTTCCAATTTTATTGAATCCGGGTGTTCACAAGAGCCCTCCACGGGCCCCTATACTGAGCCAGATCAATCCAATCCGTAACATCCTCTCTCTCCAAGATCCATTTTAATATTGTCCGCCTACCTACCCCTGTCTTCCCAGTGGCCTCTTTCCTTCTGGCTTTCCCACCAATATCATATATTCGACTTTTATTTATTTAACCCTTGGACAGAGGCTGATTTGAACTATGTTTAAGTACAATGTACCTGAATTTGCTATCAGGACTCTTAAAACCCGAGAAAATAATAAGCAATCTTCAGAAGACGATGGAACCCTGGAATTCCCGATCATGACTCCTCGTCCGACATATTTCAGGACCATGCGGTTGGTCCCCTTGATGTGTGACACACGCCTGATATTCGTACTATTTTCTGTTGTGTTCGTCCAGCGGACGGATGAGGTGTGAACCCAGGCAATGACTGCAGCATTTACGGCACTTTCTGGGACCTACTGATTGTGATGTCACAACAGCTGTGAAGTGACTGTTTTTGTATATTGCAGCCCCTACGAAGTGTCCTGGTGAGCTGCAACAACTAACTTGCAACTGTTTTCACAGTGGTGACCATTCATATTGTGGTCGTATGGGATTACACATTGTAGTTTTGTAGGAACACTATGCTCCCTTCTTGACTTCCTGCTGAAAGGCGGTGCTGGAAAAGTTTAGGCTAGCTCATTTACCTATGCTACTTTAACTGCAAACTTCAAAATTTAATTCTGATCATAAGTGGCAAGGGATTTGGGAGCAGGTGGTTGTGGACCATTTCAAGATGCAACTTACTGCATACAGCATTCATTTGGGACGACTGTGGTAGCCCTACACCTCAATCAGAATTATTATAGATGTTCATTGTATTCCTACCAAAATGACACTCTTTCCAACATGCGGAGATTCCTGTCTAGGATGACATGCTTCGGTACGTGTGTGCCATCTTCAGGATAAGTTTTTTGTTACAATTACTCTATTATATACTAATTAAAAGGTAAAAAAGTAAAACTATCCCTGTAACAGGCTGTGAAGGTCCATAGGGTTGTGAGACATTGAGGCTCCCATATTTTCTCTAGACAACTGGCTCATAGATGGAAGTAAAGCTGTCACCCCTATGCGCTGGCTGCCCTTTAGCCCCCAGGAAGATTCCTGGTACTCATATCTGGTAGAGGATGAGTCGACCCTAGGGTCATAGCGTGGCTGGAAGGATTAGGTAAACTGAAAAAATCTACCTCATTGGGACTTGGAACACATGACCTTCTGGCTTGTACCTCAACCAACTATGCTACCACATGCCCCATTACATACCATAAAATGTTTTGGTTTTTCACTTGCTTTCTTTATTTTGAAAAAATTAAAGGAGGGTTATATGAGATCACCTTGCTGTCTGTGTAACCACCTGTAATTTTTATTTTATACATGTTGCTTTCTATGTGTTTCCATGTCAGGAAAGTAGACAAGTAGTTCCTCCTAAAACTTCTTGTTTATCTGTTGGTTTACAGTCAGAGTGGCCAGCAATCTCACAGAGGTAAGAACCTGGAGTGGTCCAAAGATGGAAGCTGCAACTTGTACAAGGTTCCTAGGAAACTGAGATCTGATGTTCTTAAGACAGGGACTGGAGACTACTGTCTCCTGCGGCATGAAGCTGTGTATTCTTGTTAGATAGTTACCAACATTTTGCAGAACCAACTGCCTCCATCTTGGAAGGAGAAGTGTTTAGTCAAACATGGAGAAAAATGTTACAGATACAGAGAGAACCAGGACACGGGCCTACTGACCTCAGCATGAGATATCAGCTATTTCTCGATGCGTGAATTCGATTCGGTTCTCATCAAATTCAACAACACAGTATGTGAAAGCGTAGTAATCAATCACAACAATTTTATTTTTACCTGAATCGAAGACATGGTTCCTTACCAGCATAAGAGTGATAAGTCTTTTATACATGAGCTATTTTCTATGGCTTCTTACTTTATGTTTAGAAGCATCTCTTCATCACACTAGCTACAGACACTTAACAGCACTTAGCAAAGAACTAGTGTTGGGCACAAAAAATCAAATAATTTTATTATTCCAAACTGTAAAATAATTTGAGTATTTGAAGAAATGAATGCATTTATACAATTTGGAAAACTAACTAAAAGTATTCATTTTACTCCCTTGTAGGACACTGTAGCATACCATCGGATATCAGTACAATGTCAATTATTATTAGTCTGTCTCACACAATCCTTGAGAGATGAAGTGGGCAGCTTGAGGGGGGGCCACATACAATAGAATATACCCTCTTAAAGAACTGATTCATAAAAATAAATAAGAAAAACATATATTATTCCTGCATATTTTTAAAATATCTGCTTAATTAAAACATGGGGATGTCTGCCATTTCTTGAAACAGCTCACACTCCCCTCAACAACCACTGCTGCTACCATCAGCATATCACTGGCACATGATCCCAGATGACAGTCCACAACAAACAGAATATATGGCAGGCAGCAGAAACTAACATGAAGTTAACTGGTACACTTCACTTTCTTTGCATGATGTTCATACACCAAGCTGATATAGAAGCTTGTGCCTCCATGGGGTGCATGAGTGTTCACATCTCAAACAACTTCCCAATGATGACATAGTGAACTGTATCACTATTGACAGTAATGAACATTTCAAGATGTATTAGGCAGAAACTGAATATTTTTAAGGTTATCAAAGAGATAAGAACATGTAAGTTTTGAGGTTTTCACGGCGATGACAATGAAGAAAGTTGTCTTCTGGGTTTAGGCACCGTGTATTCTTCGTTTTGGCCGACGTTTCGGAGGAACGTAGCGCCTCCATCTTCAGAGCAGTTGAATAGCTGCGGAGAGCAGTAGCTGTGGTGATAGGATGTGGAAGGTGCTGCTTATATACGAAGTAGGCAGGGGGG